CTTAGCTCAAGACTGGACCATTTTGTAGGCAAAATCCATTATGCTAACTTGACAGTATTATAATAGCATATATCTAGTAGCAAAATGTAACATTTTTGTCTTAGTATGAGATCAACTGAAAAAAGAATGTTGCATAGCACATTTGTCATCACTTCTATCTTTTTAAACCAAACTTTCTTTGATATATTTTTTCATAACTTAGACCCACATGGAGGAAACTTAACCCTCTAAACCATTATCCCTGTCTTTTTAGAATGGAAGCATCATTCTGTTGAGTACTTCATTTGTTTTCCTCTCATTGCCTCCCTCCTGTTTGATCTATGCTCCAAAATTGCTATCTAAAGTAATAACTACTTTGTCTCAAATAAAACATATTAAAAGGAATGTGTAGGCTTTCGTGACATACCCGGAGATCTATAGAACTCCCCATGGCTGTGAACATCAATGTTTGGAACCAGTACTCTGATCTACAACACAGACTGCCAGTTAAAATCACCTGGGGAATTTTAAAAACATACTCATACATTTGGTCCAACCCAAAGAAACTGATATAGTTGGTCTGCGTGTGAGACCCAGGTACTTAACATCTATTTCAGAAGCCTCAGAGGAGTATTCTAATATGTAGCCAGGGTTGCAAACCACTTTGAGTCCAACTGTAGCTTGTAGGGTGCTTAATTTTTGCTCCTTGACCTCATAAGCCCTGGGATAAACATACTGACTATTTCAGGTGTTTCTGCCTTTCCAAGACAACCTAAAAGGAAAGCCACCACTACTGCCACCTCCCAACAGTCATGAAGACTTCTAGCAAAATCACATTCTGGAAGTTGAAGCCAAAAGACAAACCAGAGTCCTTGTAAAATTACTCTCAAACTGAACCTTCAAAGGATATAGACATCTGGGTTTTGTTAACAAATAGTTTGTAACCTTCCTATGGAATTTTTATTGTCTTAGTCCTGCTCAAAGTTGCAGTCAGAGAAAACTTCCTCTCCAATAATCCCAGCTCAATGACTGCAGCCTGCCGCTCTCCAAGGGCAGATGGCAAGATAGGAAAGGTGTGCACACTGACACAGAAGGTGAGCTCTGACTCCATGCAGCTCCTTGGTGCAGTCTCAGGGGGCCGGGCCAGCTCTGGAGGAGCACTGTCAAGACACAGGTACTCCTGAGTCAACACCCAAGATTCCGCACACCAGCTTTTAGCCTTATCCTGTAGGGTGGCTTGTACTGAAATGTTTGTGTTTGATTCTCACTTTCTATTCCCTTAGTGAAAATCCCATTATCTCTAACAGCTGTGTGTCAAGAAAAAACATGAATTTTGTGTAACAAAAAAAGAATCCCATACTTGTTTCTCCAGATAGCCTTAGGCAAAACCATTTAATCTCACTTTCTTTATTTATACTATAAAGACTTTGTGCGAAAAGGGGATAGGTACTTTAAGGTGGGAAACTTTTGAAAGAATGAATTAATCTCTATAAAACAGAAGGGAAGTTTATAATTATTATTATTTTTTAACAGCCTGGACCAAAAAAAAAAAAATAGAACAAACGTGCCACTAAAATAGTATTTGACCATTTCCAGATAAATTCATAAAGGGGAAGAAAACCAAAAAGGTGACACACACTGCTTGTGTAAGCTTGGAAATTGATTTCCAAAGCATCAGCGCTCACTACAAAAGAACTTCACAGTTTAATTAGGATGGCTCAAATCCAGAGTCTATATTTAGGATAAGCTGGAAATTACAGTGCAGAAATGAGAATCATCTAACAAGAGCCTAAATGGGTAGCGGGGGTGTCTATGGGAAAATCACCATAGCATTTCTCAGCCAACCATAAAATTTCTTAACTTTGTGTTTCTCTGGACACACACTAAATAATCTCTAATGATTTTACCTGTTCAGCTGGGGAATGTGTGTTTTAAATTTGCCTTCATACATGTTACCCACATTCTCAATACCTGTATGATCTGCTTAATTGCAGATGAATTTGGCATTTAACTCACAACATATCAAGAGAATCTCATTAAAATTCTGAATGTATATAAACATATTTTATACCATTAATATTTTGGCTTCTTATTTTTAAGTGGTTGGCAAAGGACTCATGGCACTATATCATTAATTTCTTAAATATTCCTGTTTTCTTCTCATCATTGATATATCATCAAATAAATTAGTTCATACCCAAAATGTGACAGAAAGAACCATATGATTGATTTTTTTTTAAATTTTTACTTCTGGAAATGTTTAAGATGATTTTGTACAAAATATATTGGCTTACAGTCTAATAATTTATTAGAGGAATACATGATTATTCATGACCACAATTATGGCTTCTGGAATGTTGAATGAGGGTGTTTATCTTCTTCCTCTTTTTCTTCTTTACAGTGACCTGGCTCTGAATTTAAATATGCTTGTCGGTAATTTCCCTAAAAGCCGTTTAAATGGCTTAAATAATATACTCAAAATTGTTAAGAAAATAAATCGTTTTAGCAAACTGACCTCATCAGCAAAGCTGCTCTAATGCACAATGACTATACAGGCAGAAAGACACAGAGAGAAATTGAATCGCAAGAGGAGAGTTTGAAATTCATTTAAATTAAAGTTACTTGTTTTGGCTGAAGGTTTAATTTTAAATTACAAGGAAGGAAATATTCCAGGTAAAATAGCTCTGACTTAATTTTAACTAAAAAATTTCAGATACCTAGCTTAGAGTTTCAGTGTGCACTAGTCACCTACTAGTGCATTCATTTATCCTCATTAATTTTGCAAAAGTACATACGTGGCCCTACTCCATCATTCCAAGGCCAGGCCTCTCATTCAGTGTGATGACTCAAATTTTAAAATGGCAAGAAATTCGCCGAATTCCAGCTCTGAAGACCCAATCTAATTAAGTTGAGTTTCCTTGCTTTTATGTTAATGCTAATTGAACAACACCTATATGACAGGTACAGCAATTCACTCCTTTAGTCCTTATTACTTAGTGATTGTTGTTGGCATTCTACAAATGAATAAACTGAGGTTAAGTATGATTTAGTAATTTGGTGCCACAGCCTTAATGTAGACTACACTTCCAAGCAAACATTGTCCCCGTGCTATGCCGGTCACTGTTTTGATCTCCAAGGAAGCAGTGTTGGAAAGATGCAGATGACTGTTCCAAGAGTTGCCTGACATTTGGATGAAAAAGTGAGCACTGAAACTGTCTGAGATTGAAGGTCAAAGTAACAGAGTCGGTGGTTATCTTTTGTGGGGAAGCAGGAAAGGGGGTCGTGGCTGAAATAACAACTCGGGCTGCCATCAATTTCTATCGAATTGGCTGCTGTCTGGAACATTCCACAAATCTTACTGCTTATTTTAGCTCAAATGGAAAACCCTCAGTTTTTAATCCTCAAAAAACAGTCTTGGCCGGGCGCGGTGGCTCAAGCCTGTAATCCCAGCACTTTGGGAGGCCGAGACGGGCGGATCACGAGGTCAGGAGATCGAGACCATCCTGGCTAACACGGTGAAACCCCGTCTCTACTAAAAAATACACACACAAAAAAAACTAGCCGGGCGAGGTGGCGGGCGCCTGTAGTCCCAGCTACTCGGGAGGCTGAGGCAGGAGAATGGCGTGAACCCGGGAGGCGGAGCTTGCAGTGAGCTGAGATCCGGCCACTGCACTCCAGCCTGGGCGGCAGAGCGAGACTCCGTCTCAAAAGAAAAATAAAAAATAATAATAAAAAAAAAAACCAGTCTTATACTTTTGAACCAATGAATCCAAAGCAGAGCCGGTGATTTCTGCAGCAAGGCAGGCAAAGCCGCCAGTCACGGCCACTCCAGGTCCCCGGGGGACCCAGGGAGCCGCGCCCTGGCAGGCAGAGCGGCCCGCGGGCTGGAAGCTGGTCCTTCCGCATGCGCAGGCGCTGGTGTGGCCGGCAGGCACCGGGAAAACAGAGAACCCAGGGGAGGGGCAAGGTCCCTGGCATTGAGGAGACTCACCCAAGGAAATGTTGTGCCTAATACTGCCACCAGCTGGTCTTTCCTGGGAGAGGTTTATTAAAATTAAAAAAAGAAAAACTTCCAAGGAAGTTTTCCTGCTGATGATAAGAATCTAATGAAGTCTCAGATGAATCATAAGTCTGCACTCTAAATGACTCTGGAGGATCCCACCAGCCAAATTCAGAATGTACCAATCTTCAGGACATAACCTGCTGATTTGAGCAAACTGATGTCGGGAAAGAAAAAAGAATGAAAGGGAGGTAGTAAGTAGAAAAACAGGCAGGAGAGGGTCACTATTTATTTTGAGACTACCGAAGAGATCAGTGAAATGCACTCAATGTATGGATCTTTTATGGGTCTTGATTCAAACAAACCATGATTAAAAGTTACCTTCAAGCCAAGGTTGGACAATTGGATAAGGCCTGAGTAATCAGATGACATTAAGAAATTATTGTTAATTTTGCCAATAATGGTATCAAGATTAACTTTTACAATGGGGGAAGGGCTTTACCTATGAGAGAGAGAGAGTATCCATTGGTGAAATAATGTAGTATCAGGGATTTGCTTTAAAGTGTCCCAGAAAACAGTGGGGCCGGGAATAAACGAAAGGAGACTGGAAGAATGTTGATAACCTGTTGAATCTGGAGGATGAGCACATTGTGGGGAGGGGGGGTGTTCTTTTCTTGTTCTTTAGGCTTAAATACAGTAATTGAAAATATCTACAATAAAGTTTCTTTGCTAAGTTGCAGGGGAAATTATTGATGACTCTAAGTTAAGTAAAATACTACATAGGTTGGTGCAAAAGTAATTGCAGTTTTTGTCGTTACTTTCAATAGCAAAACCTGCAATTCCTTTTGCACTAACCTAATATATAAAAATAATGTTTTTTAAAAATCTATCTTGTGGCAAAGTTTCATGAGAATATCACCTTTCTCTTCACACACAGAGATACACATATTTACCATATTAGTTGTTATCCATGTCATGTGTGTTGCTGTAAATAACTGAGCATCAAATCCTACCAAAAAAGTTGTCTTTCGAAGTAGTAACAACTTTATTAACCAAAGCATTCACAATTCGACTTCCTAAGTCTAGCGATATTAGAAATCCATTTTCTCTTCTCTGATTTAAAGGCTTTTGCTCAGTGAAACACTTTATACTCTCTAATTTATATATTTCCCTCTTCATTCATTTCTATGACAGGGAAAGATAGAAAACCAGTACATGAGATGTCTACTTCTGTTTTTTTAAAGGTCAGTCCTTGGACACATTAAATATATTTCTCTAGTACTTGAAGGATAACATCATTACTGTTGATAGTGATACAACATAGTATCTGCATTATGAAAGTCAAGTTGATATTCTGTATCTAAATTCCAAAAGAGTAGCACTCACACAATAAAACATTGTTTTACATGCCCAGGAAATGAAGAAAATCAGAGCATTCTCGTAAAATTGGGCACCAATCTGCTTTGATTTTCCAGCTTGAATTTCAAGGGTGACAACTCTGACCATAATGTAAAGATTCATTTACAAAAACTTTGCGTCATTTTCTCCAAAGATTTGTATTAGTTTTTGATGTTCTTTTTTTTCTTTTTTTTTTTTTTTTGCTTGGGGGTGGATGGGGTGGAACGTAAATAAACATACCAAATATGTTCAGGGCAGTGGTAAACCTCCTTGTTAATCATGCATTTTGTTTCTGAATCGAGAAGATCACTTCAGGTGATTAAAAGGTGCTGAAAAATCATCGGATACTTTTCAATTTTCCCCTAATTACCATTTCTCTTACCCAAAAGAGGAGAGCTGGTTTTGCTTCACGGATTTCAGGGAAGTCCTCACCTCTGATCATATACTCATGCAGAGAGACTTGCACTGGCCTCTCATTACATTACTAACTTGGTTACCAGAGTCATTTTTCTCTCAGTTTTCCCCATTTTAAAATAGGCATGAATCATACCAAGGTTGTGAGGATCCAGGTGACTCCATTCCCTCAAAGTGCCCAGAGAAAAGTAAGCCTGTGAGAGCAGCAAAGCCCAGCCAACAGGCAGGGCCCACCCAGCTCTCACCCTACTGCCTGCCTTCACACTTACACCCCAGATGGGACCAGTTTCTGCCCAGGGGGAAGAAACACAGGCAAGATTATGACTTCCTCCCTGCCCATGCCTTTCTCATTCAGGACTTCAGCAACTTCTAGTCCCTCTCCCTAGAAACCACGCCCTCAATGCAGTTGGCCAGCTCCTGCTTATTCTTCGGGTCTCAGCTTCACTGTTAGCTGCTCGGTAACCCTACTTCTAAGAAGGTGAAGTGCCCCAAAAATCTCCTTACAATTCCTGGGTTTTCAATATGTATTGTTGAACAAAAGTAGTTGTTGAATAACTAAACACCACTCTCACTGGATGGTGAGTTCCAGTAGGGCAGGGGTGCCTGTCATTTCCACTGCTATGCCCCATGTGCTTGGCACATAGGAGGTCCTGACTAAATACATGTGACAGGAGCTTGCACTCTATAGAGAACACACACAGCTTTACAGAAAGCGATAGGAGGGACAGCCAACCTGCCCCATGGGAAGGTACTGGGAGGGGGTCAGGTGTCACAGGAGGCTTCCAGGAGGAAGTGCCTTTCTCCAAATGGGCAGGCAATTGTAGACACACGGAGAGATGCAAAAAGGTAAGGGCAATCATCACTGCAATTTATTGATCGCTTACAACGTGCCCAGCACTATTGTAAACAGTGGAGTGAACATGTATCATTTTTTCTAATCCTTACGGTAGCCCCGAAGAATTAGGAACTGTAATAATACCCACTGTCCAGGTGAAAAAACTGGGATAGAGGAAAATTAAATGGATATCCAATGTCTGGTGCTAGTGAGCAATGGAGTTATTTATTACTTATTTATTTATTTTGAGATGGAGTCTTGCTCTGTTGCCCAGGCTGGAGTGCAGTGGCGTGATCCCGGCTCACTGCAACCTCCGCCTCCCAGGTTCAAATGATTCTCCTGCCTCAGCCTCCCGAGTAGCTGCGATTACAGGCACGTGCTAACACGTCTGGCTAATTTTTGTATTTTTAGTAGAAATGGGGTTTCACCAGGTTGGCCAGGCTGGTCTTGAACTCCTGACCTCAGATGATCTGCCCATCTCAGCCTCCCAAAGTGCCGGGATTACAGGCCTGAGCCACCGTGCCTGGCCAATGTATGTTTCATTTAGAAACATACGTGGGCTATCTACGGACTGTTCTAATCACTAGGCCGTGCTGCTTACAAAACCCCCAGAACACTGCATACATCCCAGCTCCGTCTACAGCTGCAGGGACACCCACAAAACACCCACACCTAGAGAGATAAAGAGAGACACGCAGAGAAAGGATTTTTCTTCTAACCTCTAATGCAAGCACCTGCTTTTCTGGCATTTCTTTTAGCCTGTAGAACAGGTCTACATGTTAATAGGTGGTCCAAAATGGTTGCTGATTGATCAAGTAGAAGGCTCTTACCTAACCTCCTGCTAAGCATATAGTTTACCTGTGTATATATATATCCTGAAATATAGCTGCAAAGAGCAGTTGATAAGCAAGAGCATTTACAGGAGTGCTCATTATTCTTATATGAGAATAGGAGTGATGTGGCTTTCGACAAGTTATTTAACTTCTCTGTACCTCAGTTTCTGCCTCTTTACAGTGGGATTAATAGAAGTAGCTGCCTCATGCTGTTGCTGTGAGGGTTAAGTGAGAAAATCCATTAAATATGTGCAACACTGCCCAGGCCTCATCCGGCTCATGTGCCCTGGTACACTAATACTTCCGCGCTAGTGCTAGTATGCTGGTAGCTCCCGATGACCCGGCCTGTTGCCTGGAAGGGGAGAACAGAAACAACAACGAAGGCAGCCCTCTGGCCTTCCCAGGGGCAGTCTTTCAAGAGCACATTCAAAGCCTCATTTCCTTGCTCCCAGTACATGGGCTTTCTTTGCACCTCTCGCTCCAGCCATTGCTGATTTTCTCCTCAAGAAGGAAACACTGTTTTCCACCAGGTGAGCAGAGCAGTTATAGCCAGGCGTAACCCAGGAGTCTCAGAAAAAGAGAAACAAGGACACTCACAACAGCAGCGTGAAGAATGGAATGGTTAGGGTAGACATCCCTTTAACCTCAGTGACTGGGCAGGGAGCCAGTGCAGAAGAGGTGGGGAACCCCTACTTCCTATTGCCTCCTGACCCCCCAGAAACCTTTGGCCCTGCAAGGCCAGCAAAGAGATCCTCAGTCTGAGATGTCAGCAGAGGGCAAAACAGGCCCAGGCAGAAGACAGCCAGCCAAGAGGAAGAAAACACATTTAGCCCAAGGCACTGGCCCTGCTCCAGCCTGGAGTGACCATCCCACCTCCCAGTCAGGAGGGACTGCGGAGCAAATCAGTCCTCCCGCCTGGATGCAATTAGCTATCAACAGGCTCTGGGAATCTGCGGGCAAATGTGCCCATATTGCAACCTTAGTTCTTTCCCAAAGCCAAAATTTTTTTTTAAAACCTTATGCAGGGGCAGAAATATCTGAGACAAGGTGGCCTCTGCTGACCACCAGGTCACCATGGAGGTTCCTGGTCATAAACTGCTATCCATTAATCACCCTGACAGGGGTAATTACAAAGCGGACATTCTACAAACGGAATGTTGCATTTCCATGCTACATGGGAACTGACAAGGGAATGGGTAATTGGAAACATTTTTGGAAAAACAAATACTAGAATCCCAAATTGCCTTTAATTAGAAATATAAGCAGGTATGCATTTCATCCATTCACTCAATCAATATTTATAAGGCATGGGTATAGTAGGAGAGAAACTTTTAAACAATAAGGATTTAGAAAGAGGAGCAGTACGGACACATTTAGGCATTAAGCATTTACGAGAAAAACATGAAAAAACAAATGTCAATCTTGGTCTGTGCTTCCAAGCGACTTGCAACTAAATGGGAAAATGAGTTATCTACAAGCGTAGAGGTAAAGAGCAATATAAACCCACTGGAATGCAGGTCCAGTGACTGGTCCATCCCAGCCGTGGCATAAGGGCTTGAAGGGGTGAGATATCATTGATGGCTGAAGAAGTTTCACGCAGAGGCTGGGACAATAAGGACTTTAAGAAGCTTGGGTAACAGAGAGAAGAAATTCCATCTAGAAAAGAGTGAAATTTATTAGGAGAGTCACCTGCTTTTAGAGAAGAAATTATGACCGAGAATTATGGAGGATAACATGAATTAGCTAGATTGGAACTGTATCATGAGCAGACGAAATCCCCAACAGTGTGTCAGATTATGCTCTGTCATTTTCTGGTAAGAGGGACTGACTCTAAGTGACTTGGATAAAAAGGGAGAAAAACAGACAACTTAGTGGAGGTGTCATGGTATCTCCTGACAGGGTGGACCTGAGCAGCCAAGACTCAGGACACACAAACCCTGCCACACATTGGGGAGCCATGGCAACAGGAGACCTTAGCACAGGACCTGCCATTCATGTTCATGTGACTACGTGTCCGTGACATCTGATCTCAGGGTCTCTCCATTTTCTGTAAAGAGTATCTGTTTGTATACATTGTATCAAAAGCCTGGCCTCTGTGTCAACAGCTATGGCCAAGGGACGGTGCCAGGGGCCCCTCCATGGATGTCAGGACCATCCCTGGAAGGGGCAATGGCTGTGATCCAGGCAACCACCTAAAGGGAGCTACTGTTGGGTCTATGACGGGCCAGGCACTTGGTTCTATGATGAGCAAGGTGCACAGTGTCCCTTCCTTCACGGCACCGAGAATGGAGTGACATCATCTCACTCTGAAGTTAAGTCCATCCTCCAGGAAGTGGGAAATTGCAAAGATGTGCAGCAAGGAAGGAACAAAATTAAAAGGTGGCTTCGAGAGGAGCTTTCTGAGAGTGACATGCCCTTTGGTTTGGAAGGTCAATCTAACCTGAGGTCAGAGAAGTATGTGACAGGGGTTCCCAACAAAATCCCAAGCATATGGTAGTGCCATGCCATCCTGGGCCCCTCTACAATTCTGACCCTGTGGATCTAGGTGGAGCCCTGGAATTGAGATCTGGGGAAAGCTCCCCAGAAGCCAATGAGGTAGGAAACTGAACTAGTAATCCTGACAAGGAGCTATGTGGGGGCAGCAGACAGACACAGGAGGCAGGGCAACACTGGAAACAGTACTGCGAGTTCAAGGATCTGTTTAGATAGGGAAGACAGTGATGAAGGAGAAATTGAGGTGATCCCCGCAATTCAAGGTTCGGGAAAAGGGGACAGCACCATCAACTGGAATAAATAATGCAGAGAGGGAGGTAGGAGCATAGAGATAATAATTCTGCATCTGAGTTCTAGCAGGACATGTGAGCAGAGACTGAGAGTAATCATTGCAGGGGGGGAGCGGGAGAAGGGAGTACAAGACTTAGCCCAAAGGAGACAAGTGAATTATCCTCATAGAGGTTATACTTTATATATGGGTAATACTATAAGAACAGAACTTATTCAAAATGAAATTAAAATATTAGAACGATAATGAAATCTAAACAGGATTTTGGTGATACATCTGGATTCATCTGTAACTAACCATACTAGATACTTGCCTGAATACATTTCATTTAACCTTCGCAATTACCCTGTCATGGAACGGAGTCTCAGAGCTCTAAATTATGTAAATTGTCCAAAGTAACATATACATAGGGATGTCAAAGCAAGAATCTGAATCCGGATTTTTAGATTCTGCATCCTTTCCATGTCATCAAGTCACCCACCACAATTAAAAAACAAACAAAACTACCTGTCCAAACAGTCAGAAAACAGGACAAAAATGGATATAGCTATGGCCATAGCTATCTTTTTAACGTCCATATGGATAATTGTTCTGCTTTAGCTCCCATTTTAAAACTTGGAAGATCTGGTGAACTTAGTTCAAAGATAACAGACACCGCACGCTCACAGCGTTGGACTCAGCGGCGGAGGGAGTTTTTAAAGCTGCTGTGTATCATTGCTGCGGAGCCTGTGTGCAATTTTGGTTCAAGATCCTTTACTGGGTTTCAGCTTGCTAAAGCACAGTTCTTTTCTTCTTGCTGTTTGAATGACTCCACAGTGACACCTGCTGGGAAGAAAGAACTGCTCAGGTCCGGGTCCTCTGCAGGAGACTCAGGGCCATGCTGAGGGTCTGCAGGACCATAGATCATTGGCTGTCCCCTGTGCTTCTGCAGGGGACGCTTCGGCACGGTTGGTGTATCACATGGAGACTGGAGATCTGCCACGCGATGAATACCCAGACCCTGGTGCCCTTCGGAGCTGGGCCGGAGTCCCAGCCTGGCCCCAGATCAGAAGAGCTCCGTGGGACTGTCACGTGCAGGGGACACAGACATCACCTCAGTTGCCCTGTTTCCACTCCAGCTCCCCATCCGCCCCCCCCCTGCAGCTGTTAGTTCCTCCACCCCAGGCCACTCTTGTTGCCACTATTTGTTTCCCCATGGATCTCTGTGATCCTGCACTTAGTAACAAAGTAACATTGAAAAAACAGGTCCCCTGGCATCACTGAGAAGAAGACGACTTCCGCGGAAAGTGCCAAAATGTTTTAGAAATAAACGGCAGACAACAGAGTCGTTGCATATTTCACTAGGCAGGATAGTAATTTATGTAATGTATTTTTAACTGTGAGAAGTGATGGGGGAAACCACTTAAATATAATGTGAATTGAAGATTTGTCAGTTATGTAGTTCATGCAGTGGCAGATCTAGAAAACGTTATAAAAACTGAAGGATTACCAACAGAGAATGCCTAAAATCAGAACTCTTATTCGAGTTCTAACTCCCCCTGTCTCAGGGAATTCTCTGCTTTCTGGGAATATTTTGCTTTCTGTGAAAAGAGCTGGAGTTATACATTGTCTGTCAAATGTTCTTTTTTAATCGGCCTTCCTCATTTTTGTTTTACTTCCTTGGCTCTTTATTGCAGCCTCTATGTGGGCCTGATGCTAACTCACGCTCCCTCCACCCGCTATGCCTCAGGATCCCTTACCTGACCCACCAACGCGGGTGTTTACATTGGTTCCTGCCCCCTTTTAGGTGGAGGGGCCCTTTGGAGAACAATGGTGCATTCACTAAGTCTAGATTCCTCTGTAGAAGAGTTATATGGGAAGACGTAGTCTACTTTTTTCCTGGAATATGTGCTGCAGCTACCCAGGTTACAATAAGGAAAATGCAGCCTCCACAATACATGGCGATTTCGCACTTAGGCACACACCTTTCCCCAGAGTTAAGCACGTCAATAACTCTCTATCTCATGTTCCCTTTTGCCCCTCCACCTCCCACTGCCTCACCCCTCCCCAAGGCCTCCATCCTTTGAGATGTGCTCAAAAGTCTTTTGGAAAGTTCCTGGGTTTTCAATGGAAAGGTTTCTTTATAGACGAAATGCGCCCTCCAGTGGCAGAAGTAAAAGTTGCAGTCTCTATTTTTAGGAGTTGGGGGATGTTGGTTCCTTCTCCCCGTGAGGCACTCAGAGCTGCTTCTCACTAAGAACAGATGCAAATCCCATGCTTTGTTGCTGCTTTTTCTCAAAACAATTCTACACTCTTTCCCAAAGTTTGCAGCATCCCTGTGAATATGTCTTTTGCCGATTATAACCTTATGATTCACTCTCCTGTATTGGCTGCCAGAAAATCAAACAGGGATCCTCCAACCTTCTGCGATTCCCTTGTAGAATTGCTGGGCTTCCGACTTCAGAAATCGTACGCTGAGGGTGATAGCACCACCTTGGCAATTCATCAGGTGGATAACAAACACGTATTTCTGCACTCTTCTCACAGAGGACTAGTTTCACAGTGTGGCGAGGAACTAGAGCTACGTTGCATTTGAGTTTTGTGGTGTTTCAGTTTTTACCTAAAAAGTCACATCATCCATCATATTGGTCATATGTAATACCTACACTCTTGTTTTTATGCTCCAAACAAACAAAAAAGACCAATTTTGAAAATTTAGGATAGGTGCTGGGATCTAAAGTTCACATGTTTAAAATCTACTCTTTTAGCATCTTGATTTAATAATTCCACCATAAATAGAGGAATCATTTTGTGTATACATATATATAGCAAAACATCACAATGTACCCCATGAATATATATAATTATTATTTGTCAGTTAAAAATAAATGGTTTAGACCTTCACAATAGGTAAGATGTGAAGCCACCAAAAGCAATAGGAAATCAGTGCTAATCCAGATGTGCAAATTATTCTATCTCCTTCTTTTCCAAGAATTTCAATCAACAGAGGAAATCCAAGTGGCCACTTAGACAGCTTTGATGTCTCTGTCAGAAAAAATGGCATGTATTTAGCACCCACTGTTTATGCCATGTGAAACAAAGATAATTACAAAGGCAAAAAGAAGAATCCTGGTCACCTAGTGCTCATGCAGGAGGCAGCAAGACAAACAGATAAAAATCAATTGAGAACTTCTTTATCAGAAACATAAACACACAAGCACAATTACTACTAGTGATTTGATGCTATATGGCATATTACTAATCATGAATGCATGCTATTCACTCAGATGAAATACAGGATTCTGTACAACCTTGGCAAAGATGGCAGTTCTTGAACCGTCCTTGACTTCTCTCTCATTCCTTTATTTTTCACAGCGTCAGTGTATCTCAGATTCATTCTCTTGCCACCCTTCCTCTGCCAATGGCTTGGTTGAGGTCGCACGGTCTCTCTGCCTAAGCATCTGTGAAACTTTATGGACTCAAACCTTCTACTTTAATTTCACCACAGGTCTTTCCACCAATTCCCCACAGAGCCCCAGACCCAAATCAGTCTGAACTGATTTCTACTTTTAAAATGGTCATCCAGCCCCTGTTGTCCACTTCAACATTTGCCCCAAGTGTTTTCAGGATTTTGATTCTTCAGGTTGTTACTACTGACAAATGAAAGGGGCACCCCATTAGGAAAATAGCCAATGCACACTGTGAATTACCAAGAGGCAGAGAGGACAGATGCAGGCGGTGCCTAGGTCCTTCCATCCTGGAGCCCTCTGAAGAGCCTTCCCTGACCACCTACAGCTGAATTTTCAGCCCTTCCCTCTCTTCACACCAGTACCATTTTATGCATGCATTCTATACACACCACATTGCATTACACTCACTTAGTTATGTGCGTCACACATTGTGAGAATAGAAGCCCTCAAGAGGAGGAACAATATGTAGCCATCTCAGTAGTCTACTGCACCAAGCAGTGAAGCTAGGAAAACCAAAATCACAACTTCCAGAATCAACTAAGTTAGACTTTAAGTTAACACTACAGCTATCCCTCAAAAGTAATAATGGAGCTTCACAGTTTCCTGTTTTGAAATCGAAGACTTGCAAAACCTACTTCCGTGCAGCATTAGAGAATTAGGTTTATCAAGTAAAAGGGAATAAGACTTCATGAATTTGTAAGCAGTCATCCACTGATGCCGGGGCAGGGCCAGCTTCTGGGGTAGGGTTGACTTGGGCAGTCACACAGGACCTGGCGCTTACAAGGGCTCTGCACTTTGTTTAGTGCTTTGCTGCCACCATCTTGAAATTCTCAGTAATTTTTCAACAAAGGGCCCTATGTTTACATTTTGCCCTAAGCCCCATGAATGATGTAGCTAGCCCTAAAGGTGAGGAACTCTCAGAAGCCACTTCTGCCTCCCTCAACAGGTAACTTCTCTGGAAGTCTCCTGCCCAGAGCAGAGAGAGAACAAAACCAGCCTGCGTGGTTGGTTGGGTCTGGGGAAAGCAAGAGAGTGCAGCCTGACCCAAAGCCACTTGAGGCACTCAGGGCCCATCAGCCCCATTCTGCTCTACGTGATCAATGTGAAATGAACCAAGTGATCCTGCAGCAGCTCCTTTTGCTCTTCTGCTCTGATATCCACCATTGTTTTATTAACCACATTTCACACAGGAGCCTTGGCACCATCAAGGTGACACCACAACAGCCCCCAAACCCTCTGAGCCCCCCACAGCATCGACACACACTAAGATCCTACAAGGCCCACACTGGCCTCCTACACCCTCAATTCTGCCATCAGTTTCAAGAGTTCCCATATTTAATTTTTAACAGAATCTCTACCCTATTAACAACAGCAAATCATTCTTCAGGAGATCAGTAGAATCTAGTCAATGCTTTGCTGTTCGTGCTTTTCTTCTCTCTAGTTTAAGTTAAAAACAAATAACGTTTTTCTTATTTATCTTAATGAACAACTTTATAATTCTTGACTTTTTAGGGATTACAGCCCCCTAAATTGGAAAAAAAAAAAAAAACCCACAAACTTCACCTTCTTATGTCTAACATTTGTTTTTCAAATAGAATTGGGTTGGAACTAATGTTCTAAGAATTATCTATGACATATGAAAAAATTAGAAACACCACAGGGTATCAGAGAACTGGGAATGGAAACTACCTAAGAAAACAATTAAGGTTGGAGGGAGGTACCATAATAACACGGAGCTCTCATCTGCAGCTGGTGTTCAGGCACAGAGCAAGCAACATATTTCAACCCGTCGTGAGGCGATGCTAAGTTTTATGTGTTGCACTCAAGAGAGGTCCTGTGTCTCATCAGAGCATTAAATGCATTCAGAAATAAGCAATGGATTGGAGAAGCTTGGAAGAGCCATCGGGATTCCTAGTATAAGGCCAAGGACTGAACGCTTTGGCCAACCCTGCCATGACTGAAGGCTGAGAAGTTGTCTGTGGTCAGCACGGCCGACAGAGACCAAGTTCTCTTCCTGTGTCGTGCTCTGTGTGGCACTCTGAGTGAGTCCTTTAACAGGTCTAGAATCAAGGCCCTCCTTTGTAAAAGCAGGGAGTGGACAAGCAAACCAGCACTGAGAACGCCTCTGAACACTTGGCTTTGTGCCTGCTGTTCATGGAACCTTGGGCAAGTTATGCAGCCTCTTTAAACCTCCCTTTACTAATCTGGAAACTGGGAAGACAAAAGCATAGCACTCACCTCATAGCATTCTTGTAAGGATTCAATGAGATCACTGTTTGAAGTGCTTAGTCCAGCATCTGGCACTTAAAACGCTTCAGCAAAATGAGATACCATTATCTACCTATTAGAATGGTCAATACCCAAAAAACAAAC